TTGCATTTCCAAGTGATGACTGATTAGAAAAGGATTGTTGATCAGTTGTATTTACAGGTCATGTCTTACTAGAGCTCTAGATTGTTGATCAGTTGTATTTACCAGTCATGTCTGACTAGAGCTCTAGACTGTTGATTCAGTTGTATTTACCAGTCATGTCTTACTAGAGCTCTAGATTGTTGATTTGACTGTATTTACCAGTCATGTCTGACTAGAGCTCTACACTGTTGATTTGGTTGTATTTACCAGTCATGTCTTACTAGAGCTCTAGATTGTTGATTTGACTGTATTTACCAGTCATGTCTGACTAGAGCTCTAGACTGTTGATTCAGTTGTATTTACCAGTCATGTCTGACTAGAGCTCTAGACTGTTGATTTGACTGTATTTACAAGTCATGTCTGACTAGAGCTCTAGACTGTTGATTTGACTGTATTTACCAGTCATGTCTTACTAGAGCTCTAGACTGTTGATTTGACTGTATTTACAAGTCATGTCTTACTAGAGCTCTAGATTGTTGATTTGACTGTATTTACCAGTCATGTCTGACTAGAGCTCTAGACTGTTAATACAGCTGTATTTACTAGTCATGTCTGACTAGAGCTCTACACTGTTGATTTGGTTGTATTTACCAGTCATGTCTTACTAGAGCTCTAGATTGTTGATTTGACTGTATTTACCAGTCATGTCTGACTAGAGCTCTAGACTGTTGATTCAGTTGTATTTACCAGTCATGTCTTACTAGAGCTCTAGACTGTTGATTCAGCTGTATTTACCAGTCATGTCTGACTAGAGCTCTAGACTGTTGATTTGACTGTATTTACCAGTCATGTCTGACTAGAGCTCTAGACTGTTGATTCAGTTGTATTTACCAGTCATGTCTTACTAGAGCTCTAGATTGTTGATCAGTTGTATTTACCAGTCATGTCTGACTAGAGCTCTAGACTGTTGATTTGACTGTATTTACCAGTCATGTCTTACTAGAGCTCAAGAAACTTGATCTTGTTGTATTTACCAGTCATGTCTGACTAGAGCTCTAGACTGTTGATTCAGTTGTATTTACCAGTCATGTCTTACTAGAGCTCTAGATTGTTGATTTGACTGTATTTACCAGTCATGTCTGACTAGAGCTCTAGACTGTTGATTTGACTGTATTTACCAGTCATGTCTGACTAGAGCTCTAGACTGTTGGTTTGGTTGTATTTACCAGTCATGTCTGACTAGAGCTCTAGACTGTTGATCTGGCTGTATTTACCAGTCATGTCTGACTAGAGCTCTTAACTGTTGATCTGGCTGTATTTACCAGTCATGTCTGACTAGAGCTCTAGACTGTTGATTTGGCTGTATTTACCAGTCATGTCTGACTAGAGCTCTACATTGTTGATCAGTTGTATTTACCAGTCATGTCTTACTAGAACTCAACAAACTTGATCTTGTTGTATTTGCCAGTCAAGTCTTATTTGGTTTTTAGGACAAATTAATCAAAACTGGCAGATTGATATTATACATCAATTATACATCAAACAAGGTGATGGGTTGACTGTTGCAGAATTTCTTGGCAAATTTTACATGTTTCCATATTGCTTTCAAATCTACATATTTCTTTCAAAATCTGTGTTAGAAATATTGTATATGTGTTATTTTGAATCAAAGGAAACTATAAAATTGTCTGAAAAAGGTTCTAGAAATATTGTATTTGGCTCCCCCTGAGTCACTGGGCTAGCTACAGGCCTGTTAGATTTATTGTATTTGGCTCCCCCTGAGTCACTGGGCTAGCTACAGGCCTGTTAGATTTATTGTATTTGGCTCCCCCTGAGTCACTGGGCTAGCTACAGGCCTGTTAGAATTATTGTATTTGGCTCCCCCTGAGTCACTGGGCTAGCTACAGGCCTGTTAGATTTATTGTATTTGGCTCCCCCTGAGTCACTGGGCAAGCTATGGACCTGCTAGAAATATTGTATTTGGCTCCCCCTGAGTCACTGGGCAAGCTACAGGCCTGTTAGATTTATTGTATTTGGCTCCCCCTGAGTCACTGGGCAAGCTATGGACCTGCTAGAAATATTGTATTTGTGTGGTATTTGTGAGAAGTCAAGTAGTTGTAGATTGTATATAATAACTGTGATTTACAGGGCAATAAAAACTAGATCTGTCACTTTATAAACTATATTCATACAAATACTTCACCAAACTCTCCACTTGACTCAAGTACTGGGGTAAAAACAACCAATCATAACGCTAGTACTGATATTGAGTGTAAGAAATGGCACCCCATCAAGTCAAAGGTGTTTATGTGATAGTTTTAAGAATGATGTATGAAGTAAAAGGTTTAATAGCTTGATCACTTTCTGGAGTTTGTCTTGCAGATTTTTGAGTAGATTCAAGAGAGGTGACTCAGTGAGTTTGATCCATGCTCACTCACCAAGAGGTCTGGATTCAATATATCTCAAGAAAGTACCTTTTGATTTTTTTCCTGCTATCAGTGATGCAGGATGTAGGGTCTTTTACTTTTGTAGAAGTTGTTCAGATTCGACATTACATTGAGAAGCTGTTGGGAGATAAATACACCTAAATCAACTTAAAGCTCTAGTCAGACGTAACTGGCATGTACAGTCAAATCAACAGTCTAGAGCTCTAGTCAGACATGACTGGTAAATACAGTCAAATCAACAGTCTAGAACTTTAGCCAGACATGACTGGTAAATACAGCCAAATTAACAGTCTAGAACTTTAGCCAGACATGACTGGTAAATACAGTCAAATCAACAATCCTGAAAATTTTCCTCCAGAGACCTAATTGGCTGTAATCTTTAACGATATCAAACTGATATTGGCCCACTAGACAATATTTCAGGTCTGATATTGGTCCAGAGGGAGAGATTGGTGTTAGAAGTTAGAAACAATCCATCTCAAGGGGGAAATCAGCGCCATGAGTTAGAAACAGGCGTGTAGACCACCCTAGTGGTGTTGTTTATAGTATTGAGTGTTAATAAACTAACATATCCCACTATTCACTCTGTTTTTCTGATGTCCAATTATATTTAATGGCGCGAATATTGCTCATAAATACGTCAAGATTCTAAATAGAATATAGAGCCTGGTTTAGAACAGAACTGTATCAGCCAGTTGTGTTTGAATGGAGGTAAAATGTTTTGTTTATCCAGACTGTACATACATGGATATTTATGATTGGTTAAAACTCTTAATTATATGCAATAAGAACATAATGATATAAAAATACATGATAATTCATTAGAAACACCAGTTAATCAAATAGTTTGCTTAATTTAACACTAAAAAAATAAGGAAACCCATCTTTAATTATATACAATAAGAACATAATGATATTATTAAAAATACATGATAATTCATTAGAAACACCAGTTAATCAAATAGTTTGCTTAATTTGACACTGAAAAAATAAGGAAAGCTATCTTTAAATCATAAAAAGAATGCATTGCTGTGGTAAAACTTGGCCTAGTGTTCAAAATTTCAATTTGCTTCAAGAAACATCTTATCACTTTAAAATAAAGGTCATTAAAATAACAGATATATTAAAAAACATTTTATATCATAAAACATGATAATTTATTCAAAACATACAAAAAACTAACACAACATTATCTATGAAAAAATGATGGTTTTGGTGAAAAAAGCTAAAAAATATCATCTTTACAAAATTTGGTTTTATAAAGAAAAGCTATCAATTGTGTAAAAAGATGTGAATTTTTTATTTTGTGAACAATTTAGCCATTGAAATGGTTTTATCAGTTAATATACACGCAGTTCTTTTTATTTCTATCTTCTAGTGTGGCAATGACTTCAATTTCTACTTTTTACCTCAAAAAATTGCACAGTTTGACATCTGAATGTTAATGTAATGGTTTGTGTGAGTTTCTATCAGTGGAATAAAATAGCTTGAGAAAGAATAGAAGACATTTTTACTCAAATTTTAGGTTTCCATAGTATCAATGATTTTTTTGATGTTAAAAACCAATAGATTAAAATAAAACCAAAGCTTATGTTAAATCTAGCTTAATTGCCCGATTTCTTATGATTCTTTTAAAGAAATTGTGTTCTGTAATCACAACATCCAGAAAGTTAGTTTTCAGTCAGAACACTTTCAGGCACATTGTTTTCCGGAAACTTTAGTCTTGAGTCAAATCAATTGTCTGGGAATGAATTGGAATAGTATTGCTTTAAATATAAAGACAGACACTGTATCAGTCAAATCTAAAGTAACTAGGTGAAAACATGTAAACTTTATTTTGTATTTAAAAAAAAAAACATGTCTTTTAAAAATCTGTCTGTAAAATGTTTCATTTATAGAAAATTACAATGAAAGTTCCACAAATTACTTGTTCGATGTCTAATTATTTTTTAACTATTAAATATTTATATACTGTGTGGTGAAACATAGAAGAGGTGTTTCAGATACAGATGTATTGTTCCAGTTGAATTGATCAACTTTTACTTTTTAGTGCTTCTAGAGTATTGATCAGGATTGTTAAATTGGTTTTGTTTGCCAGTCAATTGACAGTCATGACCTTAGGTACTGAGAACGAAACTTTGAAACCTTGTTTTGGGTTAATGATTAGATTGTTATGTAGAGAGTTCCTCATTAGAATGGGGTTTCTCGTAGTACCCTTTATAAATGGAAGTGTTGTTTACAACCTAACCCACTTTTTAAGCTAATTAGCTTTGGCTAAATTTTTTGTAAAGTCAGAATTTAATCATGAAGATTTTCTCAATCATGAGACATTTTGACTGACAGCAAGTATAACTATTACTTAAAGTGACAGGTGCGGCATTTTGTGGAATTGATTTTAATCTTGAATATATGTAAATAGTCTTCAGAAGTACTGGAAATGTTATTCCGTTATAAATATCTCAAACTAGGAATTTTACATAGCACTTCTATATAAGTATTTTCTATATATCACAGAGTATCTTAAAATGAAGAGTCGTCATTTTAACATTCAAATGCAGATAATTCTGGACACACATGGATTTGAGGACTCAAATTTCGACGGTGAGCTGTGAACACCATTACTATTTGGCTTAGCTAAAAAATTCACGTTTCTGAAACTAAAATTTGATTGGTCAAAAAATATGTAAAAGGTACCTGATTGAAATTTATGATATTGACTTTGTTAAGTCTTCTATTTTATTTTAAATGGGAGATCATCTTTAAATAACAAGATTACTATAGTGACTTATTTTTCATGGTAAAGCCTCTTTAACTAACTGATAAAGTTGTCTTTGATCAGAGTGAATAATTATATTGATTATCTCTTGAGGAAATTTGTCGTGCGGAAATAGGTAAAATGAAAACCATGTATAGCTGGAAGCCAAGTTTGATGGTTTCCTATTATTATAGGATAGATTGTTAGTGTCCTTTCTTTATCACAAAGTGGTTGTTTGACTTAATGATTAATTCCTTTGTTTTTATAAACCTTGAAAGGAGCTGTTAAAGGAACATTCTGCTCTTTTTGTAGCTCGAAATTTTTTTTTACCTCAAATTTGTGAAAACTATACACCAAAATCTAGAGAAATATGCCCTCTAATGTATTTGGAAGTTATAACTAAAAGAATCCAGCCGTTAATTTTTAAACGCCAAAAATAATTAAAAACATTACGTAAGGAAACTGTTGATAAATTACTATATGGATTTGATAATAACTCCTAAACTGCTTAATTAACAATTAGTTCTCTCCGCTTTTAATAAACCAAAAAACAAGCACTTTGGCATATTGTTTCTATTAACCATAAATATCAATATGTCTGCAATTTCTCAAATTTACAAAAACAATTTGATGTAAAGATTTCAAGATTTAAGAATAAAACCCAGTTTTTTATCTATATATCAGTGAAAGGTGAAGAATGGAAACAGGAAGATTTCCCTGCGGAGTCGTACCACAATTCTACCATAGTTTTATAGCTATCATTTCACTTCTCTCAACTCCCTGTAGACACCAGCAACAATTTAAATCTCCATTTTGTTCAAATAAACCATCATATGTCTATTTTTTAGATATAAAATGAGATGGTATTATTTCTACTTTTTTTAGTAGTCCAAAATCCGTCTTCAATAGCCCACATTGTAGGATGTAAAACTCCATTCATTTCATTTTGTCTTAGTAAAACAGAAGAAGATTGAATAGAACTAAATAAATTTTGTATCCAACTGCTCTGCAGCATTGATATTTTGCCATTATTTTTTTTTTAAGGTAGACCATGAAAAAAAGAAATTCAAAAGAATAATTTTGACCAATCAGATGATTAATATTCATAAAAAATAGCATGATTTTCTACCAAATTTCTTCTGTTGTCAAAGTTGAATAATATATAATCATGTTTGAGGAACTAGGTAGTGCCAGAGTTACCATGCTAAGTTCCTATGACCCTTAACAATAAAACACTAATTATTGAATACAAATTAACACCCTTCTCTTGTTGTTTTCAGCAATCCAACCAGTCATTAAAATGTCCGCCACCAACAGAAGATGAACAGAGTTCGCGAGATGAGCCGATATTAAATGGACCTATTAGACCAACGTCACGTGACCAGCTTAGTGATGTAAGTATGGGTTTATTACTTTTTACCTTTTTTTGAAACGAGGGCTGGAGGCATAAATTGAAAACAATTACAGAAATTTTAATTTGGATTCCAAGTTTTGATATTGATCCTGGAAAATAAATCTTTAATTGAGAGTATAGTTAGTCTATTTTACCAGAAAGGGACACATCTGCATTTTGTCATGAACAATTATAGTCTAGTGATGTGAGACTATATCTGATATACTGTTCAATTCTCGTCTTTTCACGCTTGTTTTAATCCCATCAATTACTTCCCTTGGTTAGAGAGGACACAGCCTTGAATCAATATTACTCAATCACTTCTCACCACCCTTCTTCTTGTTTCATCACCTCATGATATTGATACTAGTAAGCCAACCTAGAGGTTGTAAAAAAAGATAGTGGTAAACTTAGCAAGTAGCCAACCTAGAGGTTGTAAAGACTCATATTTCATAACTCAATTCCTTGGGACCCTCTATCATGTTTCAACGCCCATCCTGACTAAACAAAGCTATTTATTTACGCAATATTTTTCCCTTGAAAAAGCTGAAACATTTTTTGGTACGTCAAAATTTCATTCCTCAAAAGACATCTGTGTTGGTATCTGAGTATCGTTAATTAAATTAAATTACGAGTGATAACGGTCATAGACAGAGTTGAAGACGATCTCTCACTTTCACGGGTCCTCTCCTTCAACAAGATAAAACCTCTCGTAGAAAACAGGCAACTCAAGATCACATCAAACAATGTTTTAAAGTATGGCAGTAATTATATTGATTATCTCCCCTAATGACATGGAGGTTCTATGTCAAGATCTCTTCGCGATCTGATCCTAATAGCCCAGCAGTAGAAAACGTCAATAATTTTTATAGGATGAAAGGAAACAGTCTTTGACAGTTTAGAAAGATTTGATTGACTTGGTCTACAATGGAAACCATTGCCTAGGAATTGGGTTTCTTCAATTTGAAGTTACTATTGATATCTATGTCAGTTTTCCTCTAGTGTCGTCTTAAAATGCACTAGTTTTTGTGGAATTGCAGGAACCACAGATGTCTGATTGAAAATTGGAATGATGTAAATTGAAGCTATCAGTGTCCCTGATACACATGCAAAATTTAGAAAAACCTCTTTACAAGTCCTTTAAATTAACTATTCTACAGCAAGCACTGGTAGAGGTGTATACTATAAGAAAACCTCTTTAAAATCTCTTTAATATATCAGTCCTCTGCCGTCCTCATTTCTTACTAATTATATATTCGTGTCTTGTTTCAGGCTAGTACTCATTCTAGTTCTGGTAGAGGATACCTGGTAAGTTATTTTTCTTTAATTATCTGGATATTTTCTCAGACAACATCCCAACCGCCAGCAGAATATCTTAATTCTCTCAAAATATATTTAGATTGGTCTGTATGCATTATTCAATTAGAGGAGTTAGTTTATGTAAATAGACAATCAGGCTGTCGGGTGCTGTGCTCAGTGTAGAAATATTGCTATAGAAGATTATTAAGAGGGTCAGTGAGTTGTGTCATGTCTGAAATTAATTCAGTGGTCACTTACATCTCTGGACAGTGTTCTAACCCAGTGTTAGACAGAAGTATTGACGTTGACACAGATCACAAGTTGTTTACCCCTTCAAGGTGATATTCATATAGCCCGCCATTCACCTTTAAACCTTAGTGCAAAACTCCATCTCAATCTAAAAAAGAGAAATTTGCCATAGAAAAAAGTAGCAAGAGATTAACCTAAAATAAATTCTTAAAAGACATGAACGTAATTGTGCTTTTTAAAGTTGGTTGAAAAAAAAATAAAGATTTAAAATTTGATAAAAACTAAACAACTAGTGTTGTATTGACAAAATGTCTGAGAATTTCTTCTCAAACGATTTTAATATCCTTCTTTTTGAAAAACATAATTGTCTTCTGATCAATTGTAACCATATTATTCTTTCTGAAATCTTCCTTTTAATTTGATGTTTATTTTAAAACGTACCGATGTTGGAGGATTATTTAAAAATATTCTGAAAGCTAAATTGTTATTTTTATAAATAGTTTTATTTCAAATTTAATGTATTTTTCTAGAGAGTGCTTAATTTTTGTTAGATTTAATTGTCTTCTTTGTTTCTGGTAATATTTAGAAATATAAACTTTGTTTTCTATTTTGTCTGGAATCTAAAGATATTTAAGGTTATTTTTAACAAAATTCTAGGGTACGTTTGAAAGCTGACTCTGGATGAACTCACAGAAGCACTTACTGTGGCATCAGTTTTCTTTCTTTAAGAAGGATATGAACCCTCGGCACCTAGTCGCTCAGCAGACGACAATGATACTCATTCCACTATTCCATTTTAGGCTTTTGTCGTTTCTCAATTTGAAAAGTCATTATTTTCACAACCACCTGCAAATTGGCTACAGCTATCTTCAAAAGTAAACTCAAAAACCAAAGATTTAAATGCTGTTACTGGATCACAGGCTATGAAGCACCTCATAGCACTGTTGGCTTGAGTTTGTCAACTTAGACTCAGTTATAGAAAGTTCTTATTTTCATAAGTATCTAAATATTTACTCGTGTATCTTAAAAAGTAACGAAGCGTCTAGTGGTATGGATGGGACAATAAACCGAGGCCTGTGTGCTACAGGCTGTGCACATAAAAGATCCCTCGACAGTTGGAAATGGAAAAAGAGCAGGCAAATGCCACTGTCCTGACAAATTTCCCTCATTATACCCTGTATGACGTTGCCCGTTTTCATTAACCAACATGGTGCAGAAAAATAGGACGTAAAACTCCATTCATTTAAAAGTAACAAGATCAATGGCTTAGGGCATCTCCTAGAACTTTCGGCGTAGTTTCACAAAGATTGAAATATTTGCTGATGTATCTTTAAAGATGTATCTTATAAAAACAAGAAATCAGAATAATAAAAGGTTTATATTTGATCAGTTGAACAAGACAGAAGTCTTTACTGTAAGGAAATAAAACACACTCAATCCTTTTGGAACCTTGAGATAAAATCAATGGCTTATTGGAAACTTTTATTATTACAAAATCATGATGCTGCTTTTTCTTTTCTGTAAGAAAGGCATAATATTTATTTTCAATGTTCACATTTTGACTTTAATTTAAAGGGATTGACATTATATTTAAGACCTTACACTATAGTGATTACTAGTTGTGTATGGTTGTAAATAATGATAGTGATCATGAGAGTACAACTCACAACTCAGTTACATGAGAGTTCAACTCACAACTCAGTTACATGAGAGTACAACTCACAACTCAGTTACAAGAGAGTACAACTCACAACTCAGTTACATGAGAGTACAACTCACAACTCAGTTACATGAGAATACAACTCACAACTCAGTTACATGAGAGTACAACTCACAACTCAGTTACAAGAGGGTATAACCCACAACTCAGTAACATGGGAATACAACTCACAACTCAGTTACATGAGAGTACAACTCACAACTCAGTTACATGAGAGTATAACTCACAACTCAGTTACATGAGAGTACAACTCACAACTTAGTTACATAAGAGTATAACTCACAACTCAGTTACATGAGAGTATAACTCACAACTCAGTTACATGAGAGTACAACTCACAACTCAGTTACATGAGAGTTCAACCCACAACTCAGTTACATGAGAGTACAACTCACAACTTAGTTACATGAGAGTACAACTCACAACTCAGTTACATGAGAGTACAACTCACAACTCAGTTACATGAGAGTTCAACTCACAACTCAGTTACATGAGAGTACAACTCACAACTCAGTTACATGAGAGTACAACTCACAACTCAGTTACATGAGAGTATAACTCACAACTCAGTTACATGAGAGTACCACTCACAACTCAGTTACATGAGAGTACAACTCACAACTCAGTTAAACAAGAGTACAACTCACAACTCAGTTACATGAGAGTATAACTCACAACTCGGTTACATGAGAGTACAACTCACTACTCAGTTACATGAGAGTACAACTCACAACTCAGTTAAACAAGAGTACAACTCACAACTCAGTTACATGAGAGTTTCTTATTCGCAACCATTTCACAACTGGTGTATGGGGTGCGGGTCCCTTTAGCGTTGTTCTTAGCTTTGTTTCTGTTTTGTTTGTGTGTTTATTTTTACAAAACAAATTGTATGTTGACTGGCTGATGCCCACGAAAGTAAATAATTTTACACTGCTTTCCTGTTAGTATTGTCTATGACAAGTTAATAGGGTTTAAAACTCCTCTGGTCAAAGCTACGCAACATTTATTTTCTGACAGCCTCCCTTTAACCTGAAGATTATTTTTACTTTTCTTCAACTTGCATCAATATATCTGATTTTAAATTGAGGTTCAAAATAAGTATTCTTTCCATTTCTTGATTTATATTGATAGAAAACATCTTCTATTGATAAAAACTTGGAAAAGAAAATTGACTTGGATTAACAACAACCCAAGTCGAGCAAATCCTCCTTGTTTTCAATACTGTTACGTTATTTTTACAAACATTACGTGTTATTCGCAAAGCCTCTGTTTTAAGTACTTCATCGATTTAGTACACAGCTTTTCAAAAGCTAGCTTTACATAAATATTTTGCTGCCGTCTTGATGCTTTTACCACCATTAAGTGGAAAAATAATGTGTCTTAAAATGTCTGTAAAAATGTGCATTATAATTTAGTCATTTGACTGGAAGAATAAATATTATTTTGTCTATATGCAGTGTATTTCAATATTATTAAACAGAAATTCAAAATAATGTTTGAAAGTATTATTAGAAAATTTAAAACAAAATGGAGAAACATATATTTAAAAGTGTTTTAAAATGAAAAAAAAAAATTAGAAATATTAATGAAAGATATATTAATTTAAATGATATTATCTTTTAGAAAGTGTTAGAGTTCCAAATTTTAAAAAAAAATAAATATTGCACCTTAACAATATTGTCTATGTGGAGTCATGGGTTTTTAAGAGTAAGCATGCCCTTCAAATTCATTCAAGTCAATGTCAGACATGAAACCAGCTAATTTAGTCAAATTTTTTGAAATACAGAAGAAATAAATTTAATGAAATCAGAATAAACAATAAAGATACAATTATTTGATCAAAAATATGAAACAAATATAGGGAATAAGTTTTCAAGTTTTAGGTAAATTGTAATAAAATATTTACCTTTTCTCTATCTTTATATAAATGTTAGTGTTTTTAATTGCTTTGAAAATAGACGCCTATTACTTCATTTCAAAATACCAATATTTCCATATTTGGTTTGACTATATATAAATATTTTAAATTGCTATTTAAATTTACAAAAGAGGTTGTAATATCTCTGAAAATAAAAAATAGATAAATTCAGACATTTTGAGATTATTTGCCCGATCATTCGCTAATATTTCCAACAAATATTTATCGAAGGTTTTACATAATAATAAACCAAGTACAACACGATAAGGACAGACATGTTTAATTTGATTGATGCCTCCTTCTGGATGATTTGTCGTGAATGTAATTTAGCGTGGAATTGTAGGTCAACAGAAGATAGCCATCACTCTTTGTAAGCTGATTATTGATTGGTTGAGCCTTGTTGATGACACTCATAACATCACTGCGGCATTGACCTCATGGCTTAAAAGGGGATCAAACGCAAGGAACAAAGAAATGGAAAATCTTTCGTTGGACAATTCCAAACAAGCTAAACAAACACTAATCATTCTGGAGGAAATTGCTGCAATTGGGAGAGATGTGGCGCTTCCGTCAAAAACCCGCTAAATAATTGGTTGATGGAAATTCAACGATTAATGGAGGGCTTAGTTACCATGACAAAGGATTTACACGGATTGGATTTGTTAGGAATCACGAATCTGACGGAATTAAACAATTTAGAAGATTTTCAAGCATGAAGGTTAATATTTATAAAACCACGTTTTGAGGCGTTCGGGATATTGATTCAATCACACTCCTTCCATCTTGTCTTGGCTTCGTTGATTTAACCAAGTTGGTATCCTAATTAATGGGTTGAATTATCCCCCTTGCTGATTTTGGTCTTCCATGCTGGTCTGCTGCTTCAAGGCATAATTTAGCGTCCAATTCGATTGGACTGATTTCTATTTAATCACCAGCATTCTGTGGCAGTGTGAGAAAAGTTGCCCGATTCTATTTGAGTTGCCTGAAAGGTAATGAAATTCTGAATGAGAATATCTAGATAGCTTCCATTCCATTTACACTACTAAAACCAATAAGTGGTCAAATATTTTTTTGAAATTAAGAATTAAAATGAAGAAGCTCTTAGTGTCCCCAAAATTTCAACAAACAAACCCTCTTTTGAATGTCTTTATCATACAAGAACGACAAGTTTCAAAATATGCCTCACAATGATAGTAAAACAATGCCCTGATGTTGGTTGACCATTTTAGGAAGTGTGTCGTTAAGTGCCTAGGTGTCAAGATTACCATATTAGGAAAATTGTTTAATTGTTTCAGTGCCTAGAGGGTTAAGTTGACCATATTAGGAAGATTGTTTAATTGTTTCAGTGCCTAGAGGGTTAAGTTGACCATATTAGGAAAATTGTTTCAGTGCCTAGGGGGTTTAGTTGACCATATTTAGACCTCCGTCTGCTCTAGTAGAAAGTAGCCATTATCTGTAATTGAGATAAATGACTTCAGTCGTGGTGGTGATTATGGCCGATTTTCACCTAGGGTCATTTTCTTTTCATCCCCACGATTAATATTCTAACACATTGTTTTATTGGTTAATAATGGGATGTTAACTTGTGTTTGATTGGTTAATAACAGTGTGTTATAGACAGTTACGAGGTGATCAATAACAGAGATGACCTTGAGAGGTCAGCAGCGAATTTAACACTCCATTGATTGGTTTTAACGACTGACTGAATACAGCTGAGATGATGAGATGAGTCTCAAATACAAATACCAAAATGATGTTGTTACTTCAGCTGGCAGCTAGAAATTAGAAGGGCTATGCTGAGAAAATTAGTTATTACTTATGTTGGCTTAATATAGCAATGCTAAGCACGTCTAATACGTTATAAATACTATGAGCTACGGAAAGGGAAAAGTTGACAATTCAAATACCAAAATAATATTATTTCTTCAGTTGGTATCTTGAGGATGGAGAAAGCTATTCCGAATTAAATGAATAAACTAAACATGTAAATAGTAAAAGCTATGTGGACTCTCTGAAAGTAATGCCTACTATACAAAACCCTGTTCAGTTAATATTATGACCTATGTTGAAAGTGATGCAAAGTGGAAAAATCAATGTTCCAAATAATTGTATGAGCATGTGGACTCTGTGAAGAGTTAAAGAGTTAAAATCGTCCACGAATACTAGTACAGAGACTAGAAAATCAGAATGGTGTAAATAGAAGCTATAAGTGTCTATGATACACATACAAAGACTAGAAAATCAGAATGGTGTAAATAGAATCTATAAGTGTCTCTGATACACATACAAAGGCTAGAAAATCAGAATGGTGTAAATAGAAGCTATAAGTGTCTCTGATACACATACAAAGACTAGAAGATCGGAATGGTGTAAATAGAAGCTATAAGTGTCTCTGATACACATACAAAGGCTAGAAAATCAGAATGGTGTAAATAGAAGCTATAAGTGTCTATGATACACATACAGAGACTAGAAAATCAGAATGGTGTAAATAGAAGCTATAAGTGTCTATGATACACATACAAAGACTAGAAAATCAGAATGGTGTAAATAGAATCTATAAGTGTCTCTGATACACATACAAAGGCTAGAAAATCAGAATGGTGTAAATAGAAGCTATAAGTGTCTCTGATACACATACAAAGACTAGAAAATCAGAATGGTGTAAATAGAATCTATAAGTGTCTCTGATACACATACAAAGGCTAGAAAATCAGAATGGTGTAAATAGAAGCTATAAGTGTCCCTGATACACATACAAAGACTAGAATATCAGAATGGTGTAAATAGAAGCTATAAGTGTCTCTGATACA